CCAACGTACTGCCAACGTCGTGGTTGAACGCGATGGGAAATAACTGGTGCTGGCTGTCGACGATTTCGCCTTGTGAATCGAGCGAAGAGTGTCTTCGGAGATACCATCCAAAAATGCACTCCCCAGCCTCTAGGGTTGTAGTTGAAGATTGGTCCAGAACGTCCCTCGTGCTTTATCCAAGCAAGAAGRGTGATGGAGCGACGGGTGTCTATTTTTCCTCTATTTGGGAACTGAACATAACTGTTTCTGTTGCCGTAAAACTGATATGCTCCTCCGCGAGTTTTATCAGGACCTCGAGCGGGACGAACACCAACTAGTCTACCAGATGGATTTTTGTTCAAGCTGATGTCTCTTCCAGCAACATTGGAGGTCAATGGGTACACAGCAAATGCGCGACCTGTTAAGAAAATACAATGTTTGTGATAAGTGTGTATCTTATTAATATTCATATAATAAAACTGCTTATGAAAAGTGAAAAAAAGTACTTACGAGATGGTTTGGGAGTTGGCCTGATTACTATAGGAAAAGAAAACTGTTGCATTAGTATTAGGTCGAAAAACTATTTTAAAAGAAACTAATTAAACTAATTAAAGAACATTTTAATAAAAATCAAATACTAAATATATATATCTTAGTAGCTACTCACTCTTACGGAAACATCGTGTCTTTTTTCTTAAAATTCTTCTTCTCGATAGCGCAACACCGTATACTTGCATGCAAGAGATTGCTCCTCGGAAGTAACGTCTGTCTCCAATTTTGGCTCCCATTCTCACAGGATAGTTTGTGGCAAGATTGAACCGACCAATTCGTCGACGAGCCACGAAGCGGTTGTTAATGAACAGTTTAGCAATTCCTGTTCTTCCGTTGTATGTCGCTCCAACGTACTGCCAACGTCGTGGTTGAACGCGATGGGAAATAACTGGTGCTGGCTGTCGACGATTTCGCCTTGTGAATCGAGCGAAGAGTGTCTTTGGCGATATCATCCAGAAGTGCAATCCCCAGCCTCTAGGGTTGTAGTTGAAGATTGGTCCAGAACGTCCATCGTGCTTTATCCAAGCAAGAAGGGTGATGGAGTGACGGGTGTCTATTTTTCCTCTATTTGGGAACTGAACATAACTGTTTCTGTTGCCGTAAAATCGATATGCTCCTCCGCGAGTTTTATCAGGACCTCGTGCAGGACGAACACCAACTAGTCTAGCAGATGGATTTTTGTTCAAGCTGATGTCTCTTCCAGCAACATTGGAGGTCAATGGATAAACAGCAAATGCACGGTCTATGAAATATATAAGACAAATATACGGTCTATCATACCGATTTTAGGAAATAATAGTTTAAAAAATCGCTTAAGTAGCACTAGTACCAGATAATAGCTGTCATGATTTTAATTAATGCACGTGTTGTAATTACTAACATTTCGGGATATACTCCTAATTGAAAAAACGTAGTAGGGTTCGAGAAGGTTATATCATCGAAGTTAAGACCGAAAAGTATTTTTATTACTCCGAAAGGTACATCATATTTGCATATAGACATGTAAAAATGCACAGTAAAGCAGTCGGTCGACCTAGATTAACAACATGCAAAAGCCATGATGAATAAAATGTGCACAGGAAGGGAAAACTGTAATATGCATGAAATTAGCATAATTGTTTGTCTTCCCATGCTCCCCTTCGGTCTTAGCTTTGATAATATAACCTTTTTTTGAACCCGACAATGTTTTTTCAATTAGGTGTATATATTTAAAATAATCCTTGCTTACCAGATGGTTTGGGTCTGGTTGGTCTTGCAGTAGGCCTTACAACTGTGTTAATGAAATAATAATAATAATTTTTATTTTTATTCAGTAATGAGGGAAAAAGCGACTTTAAATATTAAGCAGAGAGTGGTTTAACTGTAATTTCTTGCTGTCTTATTCAATTATGAACCTTTTAGTTAAACATTTGTGTGGGTGAATTAAGGATTGAGAACGCTAAATTGAATATGTTACAAATATTGCATGACATACTTCTGCGGAAACATCGTGTCTTCTTGCGCATAATTCGTCTTCGGCTTAATGCAACACCGTATACTTGCATACAAGAGATGCTGCCACGGAAGTAGCRTCTGTCACCAATCTTGGCTCCCATGCGTACATTGTAGTTGGTGGCGATCTGGAATCGACCGATTCTTCTTTGAGCCACGAAACGGTTGTTGATGAAGAGCTTGGCAACACCTGTCCTTCTGTTGTATGTGGTACCCACAAATTGCCAACGTCTTGGTTGAACCCGATGAGATATAACTGGTGCTGGGTGTCGACGATTTCGTCTTGTAAATCGAGCGAAGAGTGTCTTCGGAGATACCATCCAGAAGTGCACTCCCCATCCTCTAGGGTTGTAGTTAAAGATGGGTCCAGATCGTCCATCGTGCTTTATCCAAGCCAACAAGGTGATGGAATTTCTAGCATCAAGCTTGCCTCGGTTAGCGAACTGAATATAGCTGTTAGACCGTCCAAGGAATCGGTAGGCACCACCACGTGTTCTGTCAGGACCTCGTGCTGGACGAACATTGACCAGTCTTCCAGGGCGGTTTCGACTAAGGCTGATGTCTCTTCCACGAACGTTAGTGTTAAGCGGATAGACGGCCAGGGCACGCCCTGTGTAAATATATGAATACTCAGAATTGCATCCATCGAGTTTATACGTTAATGGTATTACAATAATGAATTCAAAAACAATGTATTCTAATGATAAATGTTATCAAATCTTACCGGATGGTCTTGGTCTAGTTGGTCTACTTGTAGGTTTTGCAGGGGGTCTAAACACTACAATAAGATACAGAGCATTTAATGATAATAATTGAATGTCACTTATAAATGGGAGACGTTCTTGAAAACGAACCAATGAAGTCTTTTCTCGCAAATCTTGTTACGTTCATTGTCAGAAAAGTCAGTCAGTGCCAAGTTTATATTAGTGAGTCAGTGGCTATAGATTGTTTGATTTGGTTGTATACTTACAGCTACATAGCTTCTTTTTGAGCATTATAGTCAATGACTCAATATTTCTGAAGCCCACTGTGTAAACATGACTCTTATCGGTTGCGATCTGGAGCAATTCAGCTAGTTTGTAATGTTTTCCAACGCTGATTGCAAATGACTCTACTTGTGTCTTCTTTAGATATAACGATGGTCTATTGACTCTGTCCTTTGATGGCCCAGTTGTTATGAGGACAAACACTTTGTCACGTCTGCTTCGACGGAATATGTTAAAGAAAGAGAACCGTATCGCTTTGCCAGTGTTTCGTACACCGCAAATTAGCTTCATGCGATCTATAGCTCGGAAAATTTTGCTCTGGAGAAGAAAATGAAAATGGATGCATTAACAATAATGTAGCTCTTGATTGGCTTCCTTGGACCAGGTAAATACATGGATCGGTACAGTTACATGAATTCTGCTTTAACTTTTTTAATTATAACTATATTTCCCAATTTAAAGGGCATAATATTAATATACTAACAATCCACTCATGATTGTAAGCTGAACGGCTGATAACGGCGCCTTGTATGCCGTCCGTAAAGTTCTCCTCTGATCAAACATGTAAAGCGCATTAAGACAATGTGAAATGCGCTACATAAGAACTCTCTTTTATTATGACTATTAAAACTTGATGGCAGGAAAAAGGTCAGTTGTTTCTTTAATACAAAATGTAAATCATAAAAGGGAACAATGAAGAAAAAGGAAAGTGGAGGGTTTGATTCTTTATTACAATTTTCAATTTAGAGTTATAGATAACTATATTGTTTTTGGAAACGAATTTTAATTTGCCATTAGTAATCATGATGCGATGAAGAATTAGAGGAATGATTATATACCTTTTTCATGTTAGAGTTGATTGGCACAACGATGCGGGCTGTATATGCATAAATGACAATACTGACGCGGACGTAGCGGCGCTTGACACGAAGCAGACCAATGATCCTTTTGACAAAATTCTTTACGCGAATGAAATTAGCTTTCGTGTAACGCCTGTCGAGACTGCACGCATCGACAGCAAAGACGATATCCTTGGTGACAGCACATGCTGAAACAGAAGAAGAATAGTATTATCATTCATTCATCCATCCTTTTATTTATCTACTACAATATGTTTTAAACCAAGATACATGATGATGATGATGATGATGATGATGATGATAAAGGGATGATGGTGATGAAAATGATGGCGATGATAATAAAGAGGTTTGTGATTTGAGGTGAATGATTATAAAGATTAGGATATTGTTTATTGTCATCAAGATAAGGTTCATGCATAAGTAATAAAATTATTATTATTATTATTATATGTTTATTTCAACTTCAGACATTTTTGCTCCATTATCATTATTATTGTTATCATTATTATTATTATTACATTATTGTTATTAAAATTTATTATTATTATTATTATTATTATTATTATTATTATTATTATTATATGTTTATTTCAACTTCAGACATTTTTGCTCCATTATCATTATTATTGTTATCATTATTATTATTATTATTATGTTGATGATGATGATGTTCCCGTCTCCGTCTCAACAAAAGAATCATTAACAAATTAACTTTTTTTATATTTTAAGCATATTCATCGGTCTTCTAACTGGCCCATATGCCTACTAAACACAAAGAAAATGAAAAATACATACTCTTATCTCCTGGACAGGGGCCTGTTAAAAAGAAGAAAGAAATTGGTCAAAAATATATAAATAAAAGGAAATAAACAAAACGCTGGAAATCAAACATTGAATCAATCTTTGAAAGAGTGCACCCCCTCCCCTGGTTTTCCCAGCTAATCTATACCTTTGCACTTCCTGAAACATCTTCTTTTCCTTCTTGCAATTTGATTGCCATTAAGAGCGACATCATAGACGTGTAAACATGATACTCTTCCCTTAAAGTATCGTCCATCACCAACCCTTGCTCCCATTCTAACTGGATAATTAGTCGCAAGCTTTATCCTGCCAATTCTTCGAGACGCAATGACTCGGCTGTTCAAGTAGAGTTTGGCTTCACCAGTAAAATAGTTGTAAGTGGCTGCGACGTACTGCCATTTGTTGGGTGTAATACGCCTGGAGGCGAGAGCAGGGGTAAATCGGCGGCTTCCACGTTTTGTAAAGCGCACGAAAAGAGTCCTTGGGGATGTCATCCAGAAATGCACTCCCCATCCATTAGGCATGTAGTTAAAGATTGGTCCAGCGCGGCCAGTATGGTAAATCCAAGCGATGATCGTAATAGACTTCTTGGTGTCAATGCGACCGTTATTTGGGAATCGTATGTAGCTGTTTCGCCTGCCAAAGAATTCGTATGATCCAGCTCGCTTACCATCGGGGCCTTTGGCAAGACGCACACCGACTGGGATTCCAGGAATGTTTCTAAATAAGCTAACGTCCCGGGTTTTGGTCTTATAGTTGAGTGGGTAGATGGCGGAGGCTCGAACAGGTCCTATACAGACAAACAATAATAATTTAGATGAAGGATGATGTGTGTATGATCATGACTTCTAACTGACCACTACTGTTCGACCACGTATCAAAACCGACCCTTATCTTGGTTGCAAATATGCTGTCTCATATATTTTCTTTAAATTCAGAATTACCTGATGGTTTTGTTGTAGTTGGTGTGGTTGGTCTTGTGGTTGGTCTGGTTTGTGGAATTGGTTCTGAAGTAACAAATAGCAAAAAAAAAAAAAAAAAGAAACCGTCACTTCTGGCAAATTCAGCTAAAGGAGAAGGTGACCATATTATACTTACTGAAGCAAACTTTTCTGGCGGCCCTTATTTCTGCAGCTCTTAATACTCTGCTAAATATCTGCACGCAGAAAAGTCGACCTTTAAAGTAACGACGGTCGCCTCTTCGTGCACCGAGGCGGATCGGGTACTGTGTTGCAATCTTGAAGCGTCCTAATCGTTTGTAAGCAACAACCTTGGAATTGACCCAGATTTTGGCATACCCAGTTTGGTAGTTATAAGTGACTCCAACATAGTTCCATGCCCTGTAGGGAAGTCTCCCTCCGTAGCCTACCAAGCCTGGAGATACCTTTCCATTACGCTTAACAAAGCGCACGTATAAGGTTCGTGGTGCGACCATCCACAGATGGACACCCCAGCCTCTTCTTGGTTGGTAATTGACGATTGGTCCAGATTTTCCTTCATGGTACACCCAAGCAAGGATCGTGATGGACTTCTTTGCATCCAATTTCCTTCGGTTTGGGATTTCAATAAAGCTATTTCTGTTGCCAAAGAAACGGGTAGAACTGAAGGGCCGTCCATCGGGTCCTTTAGCAAATGTAACCCTTTGTAATCGACCGGTTGGATTTCCGAAAACGTCTTTACCTCGGTATTTTTTGGACAATGGATAAATTGCTTTGACTTTAGTCTCTCCTACAAAATGAAAGAAGACATCAAATTACAGATATAATACTGCCTTTTAAATGATCTATGTAATTCAAATTTTCAAAAACAAAAAATACGTCACTCAACAATGGATTAAATCCACTTGGGCGTAATGTTTTCCCCATTTCAGACAACGTATCGTTCTCTTGAGAATAAGATTCTTTGTTTTAGTTATATCCATATTTGTGTGTCTTCTCCTGCACAACCGATAAACAGATAAATGATACTCTAGGGAATGACACGTGGTCTATTCAGAAACCATCATCATGGGAACCCAAATGGAACCCATTTTACATTGAAGGAAGACTGAAAAAATCAACATGAGAGTTGAGCGTTGTGTGCGTAGAATATTAAATATATTGGTAGTGCGTGTGAGCGAAAAGTTCCCCAATCAGTGCGAAAGCGCTAGAACGACACTTAAATAAAAGTGATTTAAGTGATTTTATGACTGAACCCTCAGAGCAAAGGAGAGAACCATAAGCAGTTCCACTCACATATAACTACACCGTTGCCAAGAGGCGGCACTTTAGCGGCGCAAAACACCCATGGTTCATAAACATTTGAAAGCAAATGCTAAAAAAAATCAGTATTACTTACTTGATGGGGGTCGACGCGTAGGAGTTGGCGGAGGTGATGCTTAAAGGTAAATATCAAAGTAGAATTAAAAGAAAAAACATATAATATGCACATGTATTTGGGAACAAAAATTGTTTCACTCTGAAATTATACGGAACTACTATGCCATGACGGCCCTGTGCTTGGTTGTGAAGATGTACGTTAACGTATGATCGCCGTGTTTCATAATCAAAAGTACGCTATATTACACATTAACAGTATCGATTCGTTGCAACAGCAGGATCTTTGTCTTCTCTTGTTTTTAAACTGAAACTGAACATTTTAAAGATAGGTAATAATTTCTTACCTCTGAAACACTTCTCCTTTTGCCCTGCTATCTGTTTTCCATTCAGCGCCGTGTTATAAATATGCAGACAGGCTATTCGACCCCTGAATGTGGATTGTCCACCTTGATTTCTCAATCCCATAATGGCAGGGTAATTCGTGGCAAGTTCAAAGGTACCAATGCGCCGTTGTGCAATAGGTGAAGAATCCTTCCAGAGAGTAGCAACGCCGCTTTTATAATCGTATGTGGCTGCTAAATAGTTCCACCTACGAGGTTTGATTCCACGACTACTCAAAGTTGACACTGCGCGCTGATTGCGTGGTACGAATTTAGCCAAAAGAGTATCAGCTGATGCCATCCAAAGATGTACACCCCAGCCCCTTGGGTTGTAGTGAAGGATAGGACCACTGCTTTCAGGGTAGACCCATGCAATGATGGTAATTGATCTCTTGGTGTCAAGACATCGGCTTTTTGGGAACAAAATGTAACTGTTTGCAATTCCTCTAAAGTAGAAGGATCCTAGCGGAAGCTTGTCTGGACCTGCAGCGGGTGCCACGTTGTACAGACGAGCTGTTGGGTTTCTGTTCTTCGAAATGTCTCTGCCTTGGTATCGGCTGTTTAGAGGGTATAAGGCAGCAGCATCGAATGATCCAGAAACTAAAAGCAAAAATATCATAAATATTATTAGACGGAAATTAGAATGAAATTGCATTGAGTCGAGTGCATATGAGTACACTCACTGAAAACGTCGTATATAAAGACTTCGTTCTCAGAAGCATGCTCTCTTTGCTTCAAATCCTTTATCTGAGATGTCTGAGATTAATAAGTTCATTGAATTCATCGGCGCGAAATAACCTTGATTGTTATTTCTAGTACTACGATTGACCCTTAGTTGTTTCTATGAAAATGCAATGGTTAAATTAATACTATAACACTACACTAGGGCAGAGTGTCATTACTGAAATACATTTTTTCCATTTTCTGAGTAACCATAATGAAACTCATATCATCATTCCCTCTGACGAGGGGGAGGAGGAGTGGGGGGGGGGGGTGTTATGTAGACCAGCTTAACAGTATGAAACACGACAATTTTGAAACCAACCTCTGCAAGCAAGATTTCTAATGACTGCAATGTATCGTCTGAGATCCCTTATGTTAATACTAAACACATGTCGTGAATCTGTAGCAATTCTCAGGAGGTGAGTAGTTCTGATTCTTCTTCTTGTGCTACTGATTCCAATGGCGATAACCTCTACTCCTGCTCGGCGCAAATGATATGCTGGTCTGCGGAAGTTGCCACGGGAACGACCATCAGTGATGAGGACAAGGATACGTTTCCTACCACACTGAACTCTTCCACGGAAGAGATATCTTTGCGCGACCTGGAGAGCGTATACAGTCCTGGAAGTACCACGTCGATACCTAATTCGCCTTAGCATCGTTAATATGCTTCTTAGATTGGAATACCTAAAAAAGAATCAGGTGATTGATTTAAAATTTGAACAAATAAGAAGGAACAGATCATGTGCACCCTTGCATTATTATATTAGAAACTGATAATTCTAATGACCTTGAGAAGAAAAAAGAAAGAAAAGAAAAAGAAAAGAAAAGAAAAGAAAAGAAAAGAAAAGAAAAGAAAAGAAA